AATCTACCGGTATGCAAGCACATTCTCCAGAATCAGATGCATTTCTCTGAAAGAGCAATAGCAGCCAGTGGTGCAGTATGTCCATTAGAGTTCCAGCAGGAAACAGATGGCATTCTCAAACTGTTACTCAGGGATGAATGTTAATAAAAGAGTAATTTAAAACAGTGTGGGAAGATGTAGGGACATGTGCAAGGGATGTTGAAGGATGCTGGGCTAAAATGGCAGAAGCTGATAACGATGTCTGAGCTCTTTATTACTCTTGAATCTCAAGGGAAGTATGCCAGCTCCAGATCTCAGAGAGGGTAACCATAGGAAGAATGTTACTGGAGAGCAGCTGTGGCACTTTATGGAAAACATAGCCAACCTGTGCATATTGCAGGAAGTGAATTAAATGCACAGTTGCCCTTTTCTTTCCCTGGAGCAGGGAACCCACTGGTTCAGACTGTACAGCTCAGCCTACGGGGACACCGCAAGACATGGAAGGTGAAAGTGGGTCTGCAGGGCAAACAGAAAATACTAATCTGCATGCAGTTTTTGGTATGTGATAAATCCACTTAAAAAAATAATGATGGGACATTAGCAAAATCGTGGACTAGGAAACTCCAAACTCGTGTTCTTTCAAAAAGTATTTAAAACAAACCTCAAATCAACCAGAGGCTGTGTGAACCAAATTTACAAAGTTTTGGAAAACAATCAAAGGTTTACAGCAACCAGGCAAACACCCAATCAAGAAAAGGCTATTTTCTAAGTGTCAGTGAAGTTTTGTGATGTACCCCATTTTGCCCCACTTCTCTCCCCTGGTGGAAACACTCTTGGTCTGGAGTGGCAGCAACCCAGTTCCCAGTTCCTTTCTTTGAACCAGAAGGAGAGAGTGTACCTTCTTTGCAGATTATTACATGTATCTGTTCTAATCTGCCTGGGAACAAATGAAAAACTGACTTGTTCTTCTCTGTCTTACTTAACTCAGAAAGCATGCAAGATAAGCAATGAATACTGTTCAGAAAAGGTATAAGGGGACTACAAACCCACAGACTGGTTGGGTCAAGAGAGTCTTGCTGAAGACATATGAGAGTTCAACTAAGGCTTGAAGGAGAAGCTGGGGTGAGACTCTTTGGGAAATTAGGACATTCAAAAGCTGTTTACATGGGGGAATCTAGAAAGCCATGTGCATGGCCAGGTAAGATATATGCTTGAAAAAAATTCTAAGGAGACCTTAGATGGTCACCTAGGGTTGATATCTAGGCTCAAAACAAGCCTGAATGCTAAAGGATTCCCTCAGAGCTGGCCTGAAAAGACTGAGAGGTGGTTTCTACCCCTGCCCCTACCCTGTTTCACTGGTATTTTTTAAATTTTGTTTTCACTCCTGGGCCTCAAGGATATCTATCAAAACATTAGCTGAACATAAGCTAAAGGAACACATGCTTCAGTGAGCACAGATGTCAAGTAATAGTCTTTGCAAAAAATATTTGAAAAAACTCTCAGAACAAATGGATTACTACAGCCTTCAGCAATCAAAATCAAAACAGAAAGCCCTGGGGAGGGGCATAATCTGATTTCCAGAATTACCACATTATAATTAGCAAATGCCCAATATTCAACAACAAAAAATCACCAAGCATACAAAAAAAAAAAAAAACCCATACAGAAAAATATGACTCATTTAAATGGATGAAATGACAAAAACTATCCCTGAGAAAGCTCAGAAACTGGAGTTACTTTAAAATAACTCTCTTATATATGCTCAAAATGCCAAGTGAAAACATGAAAAAAAAAGTAAAGAAAATCTTGAAAAGCATGTATAAAAAATGAGAATATCAACAAAGAGAATTATAAAAGAGTACCAAACAGAAATTCTGGAGCTAAAAAGTACAATAACTGAAATGAAAACTTTACTAGTGGGCCTCAAAAACAGATCTGAGCTAACCCAAAAAATAATCAGAGAATTTGAAGATAGATAGGTTATTTGAAATTATTGAATCTGAAGAATAGGAAGAAAATAGAAGAAAAGTTAACAGAGCCAAAAGACTTATGGGATGCCATCAAGAGGACCAATATGTGCATTATGGAAGTCACAGAAGGAGAAAGAAAATGGCAAAGACTTTATTTGATAAAATAATGACCAAAACTTCCCTAATTTTATAAAATATAAGAACCTAAAAATTCAAGAATATCAACAAATTCCAAGTAGGGTAAACTAAAAGAGACTTACAAGATGCATACAGTCAAACTGTTGAAAGATGCAAAGCCAGAGAAAAATTTAAAAGCATTAAGAGAGAAGCAACTTGTCACATGTAGGGGACCTTTAATAAGATTATTTCCCAACTTCTCAGCAGAAGCCATGGAGGTCACAAGGGTGTGAGATGATACATTTAATGTACTGAATGATACCCCCCAACCCAAAACACACACAAAACTGTCAACTTAGAATTCTCAACCCAGCAAAACTGTCCTTTAAAAATGTGGGAGAAATTAAGACATTGCTAGATAAAGAAAAACTGAGGGGGCTCACTACCACTAGACGTCTTATAAGAAACACTAAAGGGAGTTGTTCAAATGAAAAGGAAAGGCTGCTAGATTGTACCTCAATGCCAGATGAAGATATAAAGATCTCTGCTAAAGGTAAGTATGTGAGCAAACATAAAAGCCACTAGGGTTGTAATTTTTAAGAATGGTTTTAACCCCATTCTTTAGTTTTTACACAATTTATAAGACAAATGCATAAAACATAATCATCAGTCTCTTAGTGGATATACAATATTTAAAGATTAATATTGTGACATTAATTACATAAGGTGGGGTGGAGCTTTATATGAGTAGTTTTTAAATGCAATTGAAGTTAAGTTCATATCAATTTAAATTAGATGGTTATAACTTTAGGATGTTATATGTAATTGCAACAGTAACAACAAAGAATATATATACATATAAGTATATACAAAAATAAAGGAGAAGGGTGTCACCACAAAAACTCAACACAGTAGACACAGTAATAGAGGAAATAAGGAACAAAAAAGCTTCAGGACATGTAGAAAACACAACAAAATGGCAAAAGTAAGTCCATTATTATCAGTAATTATGTTAGATATTAATGGATTAAACTCTCCAATACAAAGGCATAGATTGGCAGAATGAATTTTTTTATTTTTTTGAGATGGAGTTTCGCTCTTGTTACCCAGGCTGGAGTGCAATGGCGCGATCTCGGCTCACTGCAACCTCCACCTCCTGGGTTCAGGCAATTCTCCTGCCTCAGCCTCCCGAGTAGCTGGGATTACAGGCACACACCACCATGCCCAGCTAATTTTTTGTATTTTTAGTAGAGACGGGTTTTCACCATGTTGACCAGGATGGTCTCGATCTCTTGACCTCGTGATCCACCCGCCTCGGCCTCCCAAAGTGCTGGGATTACAGGCGTGAGCTACCACACCCGGCCATGAATTTTAAAATGATAGAACTATGTGCTGTTGACAAGAGACTCACTTCAGATATAAAGATAGAATTAGATTGAAAGTAAAAGGATATAAAAAGATATTATAGATAAAAGTAAGCAACCAAAAGAGAACTGAGGTAATAATACCAGACAAAATAGACTAAAAAGCTGTTACAAAGACAAAGAAGGATACTATATATTGATTAAAGGATCAATTTATGAAGAAGATATAATACTTAATAATTATAAATGTATATGCACCAAAATATTTCAAGGAAACATTGATAAAATGAGAGAGAGAAACAGATAGCTTTGAGATAATACTAACAGACTTCAATGCTCCAATTTCAATAATGGATAGAACAACAAGAGAGAATATCAATAAGAAAATGATGGACTTGAAGAACATTATAGACCAAATACACCTGACAGACATGTAGATAACACTCCACCTAACAACGGTGGAATACATTTTTCTCAATTGTACATGAAACATTATCCAGAATAGACAATATAGTAGGCCACAAACAAGTCTTAATAAATTTCAAAAGATTGAAATTATATAAAGTACTTTTCTGATTACAGTAGAATAAAGCTAATACTCATTAACAGAATACCTGAAAAATCCACAAATATTTAGAAATGAAATAGTCTTAAATAATCAATGGATCAAAGAAGAAATCACAAGAGAAATTAGAAATTACCTAGAGTAATGGGATGCAGCAAAAGCAGTATTAAGAGGGAAATTTCTAACTACAAATGTTTATATTAAAGAAGAAGAAAGATCTCAAAAAAACAAAATAAACAAAAACCCCCTGAAGTTCCTCTTAAGGAACTAGAAAAAAAAAAACCAAAAACCTAAACCTGAAGTTTGAAGAATGAAGGAAAGAGTAGATTAGTGGAGAGATAAATAAAATAGGGAATAGAAAACCAATAGAGAAAAGCTAGTGAAACTAAAAGTTGGTTCTTTGAAAAAATGAACAAAATTGATAAAACTGTAACCAGACTGACTAAGGATTAACAAAATTGACAAACCTGTAGCCAGACTGAATAATAATGAAAAAAAAAAAAAAAGGTGCAAAAATCAGAAAGCAAAGTGAGATATTACTATTGATTTTGTAGAAATAAAAAAATTAAGACAATGCTATAAACATTGCCAACAAATTGTCTAACCTAAATAAAATACACAAATTTCTATAAATACACAGCTACTAAAATTAAATCATGAAGAACTAGAAATATGAATAAACTTACAGCTAGTAAGTAGATTAAATCAGTAATCAAAAACCTTCCAATAAAGAACAGTCCTGGGCCAGATGGCTTCACTGGTTAATTTCAAACATTTAAAGAATTAACAACAATCCTCAATGTTTCCAAAAAATTGCAGAGGAGGGAACATTTCCCAGTTCATTTTATGAAGCCAGCAGTATCCTGACAGCAAAACCAGCAGATACTACAACAAACAAAAAAACCACAACAGATAAATATCCTTTATGAATATTGATACAAAAATTCTCCACAAAGTACTGGCCTCCAACTTTGGTTATTAAAAGGTTTATATATCATGACCAAGTGGGATTTACCCTCAGAATGCAGAGATGGTTTGACAAATGAAAATCAATGAAATGTACCACATTAACAGAATGAAGGAAAACAAAACAAAACAATCATTTCAACTGCTGCAAAAAAGCTTTTGACAAAATAACAATTGTGACTTCTCTTTATTTGGGAGGTACTATGTGCCAAGCACCACAATAGGTGTTTAATGTAGAATCTTTTGAATTCTATTATACATTTTAGGGCAATACCCTAAAACATATGTTAAACTAATGTCTTCTTCTTACATATAAAAAAACTGATGTTAAGAGTATTGAAGTAATTTATCAAAATCATACATATAAGTAAGGGGTAGTCGGTACATATATTTCAGGTTTGAGATTACAAAGCCTAGGCTGTTTCTCTTATGTAGTGTCTTTTGCTCTGGCATCCAAAGAGAGTCAAAAAGGAAGGTCCTTAATCGGAGAAAGTCAATTTTCATAAAATTGAGAAATTATATGAAAGCTGACTTCATAAAACAGCCTTTTGTATCTTTATCCCCATCCCCCTCCCCACTGGTAATAGAGTACTATTATTTTCATTATATATTAACTTATTTTGCTGAAACGTAGGTCCCGTCGATCCCACTGCAGTATTGACTTTGAAGTGCTGGATGTTGTCCCTTCACTTTTTACAATCTCTTTGGGGAAAGAGGGTGCGTAGGGAATCAGCAGCATAATAATGGAGCAGCAACAGCAGGGCCAGTAAAAGCTGTGGAAAATCAAAAGGAAATGAATAAACTGAGAAAGCTGGAATCAATTTGGTTTTGACTCAGAGTCATACTCTGTTTTGAAAAAAAAAAAAATCTCTCTAAAATGTTGGTGCCAGCTCACTGGAATTAAGTTATAAATAAAAATCAGAATTATAGTGTCCAATTTTTTTATGGGTTTTTAATAGGTACACTGTTTAGCTTCCTGACAAACTGATGAAATGCAGACCTGCTAAGTCACACAAATGCCTGTGGCATTTGTTTACTTGGACTATTAGAATAAAAGAGATCTTTTGAGGTTATATCCTTTTTGTAGTGAAACTCAAAAATGTGCTTCTGCAGACTTCTGAATTTGTACATGGTAAACTTTTAAAACCACTCTCAAATCTATTACTGTGCCTTAGCACAACAGCTGGGGAGGTGGTTTACCTGTTGGCCCAGGTGTTCCCACTTTATAGGTGACCTTTTCAAGCTAGGAAGTGGAAGAGCAGACAAAGATCCAATTTTTGTGATGCAGCCTGAGGTGAAGGGGCATTGGTTCCATCTGAAAGCCTGCGTTTCTATCAGCTGCAGAGACTTGGGATTTTTGGTAAGGAGTACCTGGCATGTGAACTGGCTTTTACTGGCATTGTCTACAAAAGTAACTCCACACTTTGGTTTAGGTTCCATTTATTGCCCTCTGCTCTTGCAGAGCTTTGCAACAGCCTCTCTCCATCACTGGCCATATGCATAGGGTTCATAGACCTGCCAGTGACGGGAGGAGCACTTAATGGTAAGCAAGTGCTGGCCACAATGTAAATCTGATTTAATGTGATTCCAGCTTCACAATTCAAACCCAAGTTGTTTTATATGAACCTGGCCTATTGAAGATAAAGCCTAACCTCCCAGCTGGGCACGGTGGCTCATGCCTGTAATCCCAGCACTTTGGGAGGCCAAGGTGGGTGGATCATGAGGTCAAGAGATCAAGACCATCCTGGCCAACATGGTGAAACCTGTCTCTACTAAAAATAAAAAAAGTTAGCTGGGCATGGTGGCACGTGCCTGTAGTCCCAGCTACTCGGGAGGCTGAGGCAGAAGAATCGCTTGAACCCGGGAGGCAGAGGTTGCAGTGAGCCAAGATTGCACTACTGCACACCAGGCTGGATGACAGAGCAAGACTTGGTCTCAAAATAAATAAATAAATAAGCCTAACTTCCCCATGCCCCCTAAAAAATGGAAGTTTAAAAGAGAAAAGATTGAAAAAAGGAAACAAAATTTCTATTCGTACTTCACACCAGGTCAGGTGACTACTGCTATCTCAATGCTTTAACCACGGGAAATAGAGTTGCATTAAGCAAGCATTTCCTATCTCTGAGAGAATCTGCTTATGAAGTTTGCCAGAAGATGTCCTACCTTGCAGTCAAAATGACAGACTTGTGAATTGTGTGCCAGAGGGTGTGGGCACCATTTCAGCCTTTCATCTCTGGAGGTAGAGAGTGCAGGGAGGTCTCAGGCAAAGGCATAGATGGCCTCTTTATAGCCCTGCCTTTCCAGGCGGGGGTAGTTTTGGTTTTTAAGAAAACCTGGGGAGTGGGGGCAGGAGTGGGGACAGCAAGTTAGCAGTCATGGTCTACCTGGAGGTCAGGTATCCCTGATCAGGAGCAACACAGGGAGGAAACATCCCACTCATGCTAATCAGAGCCTGTGATACCATCCACTTCCTTACTGAAATATTGACTAAACCCTTAAACAAAAGACTCGCTAATCCTCAAAGATCAATTCTGCCCTCTGGGGTTTTTCCAAATCAATCTCACCCTTGTGGGTCATGGGAGACACAGTCTTTGCCTGCAGGGAATACTGGGCATGGATTGCAATGCCTTGTCGGCACTTTTGAATTTTGCAGGTCATTTAACTTGCTATCAGCATTAACTTTGTTCAAGTTCAAATCTAGAAATAGCTTTCTTCCTTATTCTCTGAAACCTCCCTCATCCCACTGCTTGCTCCCCTCTCAAAACAAGCCTTTGTGTGGTTAGGAGAAAAACCGTGCCAGGGTGTAGCCTGCCCTCAGCAGAATGGAAGTGAAATGTGCCCTTTTGCTTGGATAATCTTTGTGTCTAAAAATAGCAGAGACACCCCTTGCTGTACTGGTGACACACAGACTCATGGGGGATGAATAATCATATTGACAGTCATTTTTGGGGTAAGCAGTAGAGAACAATGGGTAAAAGCTGATCCCAAAATATAAAAATGAATATCACAAATTTCAAAAGATGTTTTCATTGTAAGTTGGAATTTTTGGTCCTTGCTCAATTCCTCTGCCCTTTTAATTTTTATTTTTATAAGCCAAAGCAGTTGCCCTCATTCACAACCTTTTATTTACCGGATCGATGACAGGGCACTGCCCCCATGTCAGGGGCACTCACACTCCGTTCTCTTTGAGAGGTCTGACTGCCAGGCTGACCAGGGGTGATGCGCATTGGTACATGCAGGGCAACAGAAGATTGAACAGTTGTGAGCTCACATCCTTTAGGTGAAGACACTTCCCCTCCACTTTCCAATAATAAACCCACTTTCACATTGTGTAATGTAGATTTGCAGGTGACTCTGTAAGCAGTCACTTTTCCATTGCAAGTTTAGGATACTTTTACCAGCAATGTGCTTATATTCAATAAATGGTAAAATAAAAGTAAGAGCCACTCAGTTGGAGTGAAACGCAGGATACGTAACTTGAAATCTTTTGCTACTTGCTTCCAAATGTTCTTCCCCCTGCTCCACTAGATTGCATGCATACACACTGATCTTACAAAAAGTGTCTTGTATTTTGAGACTACAGTGTTTTTGATGATAACAGCACACTGAGCCCTGGGGTGGAATGTCTTAGTAGCAGATAATGGTGAACAAGATGAGTTCACTATGCCCATAAATGTCTTTGAAGAGGGGCCCACATGATGCAATGTAGGGCCAACGGTGAGGTTATATGAATCTCCCGGTCACTGTCTCCAAACTCCAGATCCATTAAGTATTGCCCCAAGTTTCCTGGAACTGGAGACTTGCCTAGGAACAGAAGTGCAGCCATGTCTCAGAGCAATTAATGCTCAAAGCCAGAAGTCGCTTTATATTATAGGTTGCAGAGGCGAACTTCCTTGATGTATATTCTAAGGCTTGAATGTTCAATGTTTAATACTTTTGAGTGGGAGAGCCAGGACAAGAAAGGAAACAGAATTCTAACACCCAGCTATCCCACCATCTTTCATGAAAACCACAGTTCCTGTAAAAGATTTCTTAAGATGCATCAATTTAAATTTACAGAAGTTGATAACTGTATTATAGTAACATATAAAAATATTCCTATTCTTAGGAAATAAACCTTGAAATATTTAAGGATAAAAGACCATGACATACGTAACTTACTTCAAATGGCTCAGAAAAGAAATTAAATGATAGATAGATAGAGAGATCAGCAAATGATAAAGCATGTGGGTAAATGTTAGGTAAATCTGGGTAGAGGGTTACAATTGTGTTTATACATTTTATTTTTAAGTAAGCTGTCTGTAAGTTTGAAATTATTTCCAAATAAAAAGTTTTTTAAATTTCTCCCACACATAAAATCTACTTTAGGATGTTAAAAGAGGCGAACTCTTTCAGGCTTCTGCCTTGAGTTTGTCGTGTTTAGGATGCAAAGCCTTTTGGCACCCTACTAGAGACTATAGAATTTAGAAAGCAAAGACTTCTCAACTCATCTGGTGAGATGGATTTACTGGGTAATTTTAAAGAATTATATAGGTATGTTCATTCATCTTAGTGGCCAGGTATACTTCCTGCAGTTTAAAGTCAAATGTGTCAGCTATAATTTGGGGTAAAATTATTGGTTCATCACAGTGTGCAAAGGTCCCCAATGAATACTGAGTTGAAGAAAACAGACATGTATCTTTAGGATGGCAACAGAACAAATTGAACATTTGCAAGTACTCAACATTTTGTGAAGCATTTTCATACATATTTTGCCATTTGATTTTACCCCAAGATTTGAAGTGCAGGTATTATTCCCATTTTGCAGTTGAGGAAACTGAGGCTCAGAAAGGCTAGTTCTAAACTGCAGAGCTGTAAGTAGAGAGGCTGAGACTTGAGTCTTACTATTATAAATTCTGTGCTCTTGTCACTAGGCTATGCTACCCTATCTGTGGCTAGAGTAGTCCACTCTCCAGCAAACATTTAATACGTGTCAGATATTGTACATGGCTCTGAAGTCTGTGGTCCTGCTGTGCCTATATGCCTAGCAAAATGGTGCCAATAAACTGGA